ATTGCTCCACTCCTGTGGTTATCTGCTCCTTTCACTTTGACAGGAGGATCTCTGTGACACCCATGTTTCTTCATGTCTGTCAGGGAGATACTTAAGTAAAATCTTCCCAATGAGATTAGATTTTTTTTTTAATTAATCTGGACATTCCACTGACAGCTACCACTACTGTTCTCACCATTACTTTCTTGCTCAACTTCACACTCCTTCCTCTGGCTTAAATGGTTCTAACATTTATATTTAATGGAAGAACCAGTAAATTGGCACTGTTATTACTCAGATAGGGAGAAACAAAGTGCCAGATAGAGGTTTTTATGACTCAAATTTGATAAAAATTAAAATCTCACACTTTGAATTCTTCCAGGACATGGCTCAACAGTTAGAAATCAATGAATTTTCATGTCAAGATTCACAGATTAAACAGTTGCAAGTTCACTCTAAACTCATAGATTTGCTAATGCTTAAAGTGTTAGAACTGCTTACCCACTTGAAAATTAGATGATGCTTATTTCACCTCAGTATAAAAGCATTTCTCCATCACAAAAGCATTATAGCAGACTTTCCATTGAATTATTCTGCTGGAGTTTTTTAGAACTTTTATTACATTTTCAAACTAATTCAAATAATAAATGATTCCATTACCTTCTTTTTTCTTTTTTGCTCGAAAACACTTTTTTAAACGACAATATCTGCATTGATTCCTTTTGTCCTTGTCAACAATACACTGCCGGCTGAATCTATCAGAGACAACAAAATGTAAATGTATAATGCATTAATAACGCAGTGCCCTGATTATGAAGAAAAAAACCAACTCATCTAACCTGTCAGCATAATGTCTGTGACCACAGACTTTCTTCTTCCGTTGTTTTGATTTTTTATTTAATTAATCTGTTTTGAGAGGTGTTTCATACCTGCTTTGCTGGCAGAAATATACATGTGTATATAGACATATATATGCATTGGAATGGGCAAGTATGGAACATTTTGGAGCTACGTGCATCATTTACACCTCAGTTTATTTTTGAGATATGTCAATAACTGGCTTCATTAAATGGCGGGGACGTGGGGAAGAAGAGAAGCTACAAATAGAAAAAAAGAAAAGACAATCAAGGAAAATGGTGTCACTGGCATAGAGAAGCCCTTAGCTGCAAAACCAGTACCCTTGGCTGGCCAAGTTTACTCCTTCTGGGAGATACCAATGGACAAACTACATGTTGTATCATTACAGGTGACAATCTAAACAAAAAATGAGAAGAAGTTTTTCTAACACAATGAAAGAAAGACATGAGGAAACACACAGAGTGTAACACTGCAGAAAGGGCTACCCAAGCTCTCATGCACATCTACAAATGCATCTGAGGGGAATGTATATGAGCCATCCCCCCCATCCCTGTTTGCTTCTGTCCTTTTTGCTATGCATGTGTTTGTTAGATAAACAGATCTACGTTTTGCAGAGCTTTTCTCGAAATCACTTATATAAGCTCTTGTCACATCACTTTAGGGGTATGCCTACGCTATATCACTGTGCTATACCTATAGGGGAGAGATTTCTAGATAAGAGTATTAAGCAAACAAGGAAGAGTGCAGGAAAAAACATTTCTGGTAACAAGCCATTCTTACAAAAGGCTCTCTCCTTTACTGATTTGTCTAAACTTATAGAGGTTTACACATATTCTGTGCACAGCTTAAAAGTGACATTTTATGCACCTGTGCATGCACAGAGCAGTTCGTCAAACATGGTGCACAGACCTGCAGTGAGATAATCTGGACATCCATATATCCAGAAATGAAGAGACTGCCGTTCACACTGACAGAGGGAAAAATGGTCCTCAAAAGAGCAGTGTGTCACACAAAAAGGGAAGATATACATATGTGCTTGTACAGCCCTTAAAACAAGTCATAAATCTTACACTTTCTATTCAGAAATTGCCTTCAAAAGAAAAAATATTGAAAAGAAGTTTCAGAGAACATTTCAGAATTATACTTTTCATTTTTCACACTGCCAATGAAAATATAAGAATTTTTCTTTCTTCCCTCCACCCCCCCCACCCCAGAGATGACCTTTGTAATCATAAATAGGAGAGTGAAACAGCTCTTGAGTGATGTGATGATATCAACACTATCAACAGATATCTGGAATGTGTAATATCAAGTCCTCTTGCATAAAAGACTTTTTTCAGTCATAAGAATATACCATGAACCACATGCTCATCAAAAATGCTGATTTAGAATTCCTTAAGAAGAAGGTGGAAATACCTGTCATATTTCTGAAAAGTCTGAAAATGTCTGAATGTAATTTTAGCTTAGATTCATTAATTTGGTGCCTCTAGATGAACTTTTGAAATACCTGCATGTATAGACGTGATTTTTCCGTATACTGCGTCTAAAGAATCCCTTGCACCCATCACAGCTCGAAGCACCGTAATGTTTTCCGGTTGCTCGGTCTCCACATATAGCACAGAGACTACTGACCCCGTTGTCAGCAGTGTTCATGTTGACAGCTTCTCCTGAACTGTCTGAGAAGAGGCAAGAACAACACACATAGTTAGAGAGAAGACTTTCAGCAATCAATTCATGAACAATTTGTATTTAAATGGAGGCTTTTTCTGGTCTTTTTTAATTGCCACTTACTACTTGTATCACGTGGCGCATCTGATTGCTTCTGGTTCTTATTCAGTTAAACACTTTCAAAGTTATAGAGATGCTAACCAGATTGATGGAGTTTGCAACAACGAATAATTTTATTCTAAACTCTTGCCAGCTGGGCAAAGGGTTGAAAATTGAAGCATAACTCTGTATGTATAACTACACACACATTCTTACTGACATGAAAAGGAACTTCAGCACAAATCTGTGTTGCTTGGTTAGATGGCAAAGATCTCATGTATCAGTTCTCACAGCAGATAGCAATAACTGGCAACTGTCCTACAATTATAAAACTGCCTACGTAACATTATAAAAAAGACAGATTTTGCATAACACTTAATGAAAAAAATGCATGCTAGCAGAACTGTCTAAGTGTTATTTCCTTGAGCAAATCTTCCAGAACATTGGTGCAGACTTTGCTTACCTAACAGAGTATTAGCTATATGATTAACAATTAGTCACTGAATATGGTAAACAATACTGAAGAAATTCACCTGAAATCAAAACATACTTCTGTATTCTTCTTTGAGTCACAATGTTTAACAGACAGGTTCTATGAAATAATTGCAAAATAGCTTTTTCTGTTACGCTTCTGGTTTCTCGAATGGAAAGCTGTTTGCAATAAGCCCTAAACATTTGTAGTTGTTCAGTCAGAGAGAGGAAGAAGTAGCACATTAATGCATTATTCAGACATGCAGTCTGAAGTCAAGTATATGAGTTCATGTACAATGGACAGTTCAAAAAATAAAACTGTAAATATTGATACATATTACTATTCATATTCATAGAATCATAGAATCATACTGTACTAGATCCAACTGAAAATTAGTACAGAAATATATTATAAAATTTTCAGTGTGTCCTAGCAAACTTAAAATTTAAACAGAGTTCCTCAGACAAAGATAAAAGAATCAACATGTTTTTCTGTTTTACAGAGACATAATTGATAGGAATTATATTAAAATTTGATTAAAATAAAATTAAATCTTAAAGGTAAGAATTCAGTTCTGTAAAGAATTTATCTTAAAACTAGGTTTGTCATGACTGGAAAATAATTTTTATAAATGGGTTAGAGAATTACTTTAGCCAGAAAAATACAAAACCTTTCTTTTGAAGTCTTGTAATTTTGCATCATTATGACACATCACAATAATTAAAAATACAAAATTTAAATTTAACGATGAAACATTTCATAACAATGCAAGTTGTGCATCTATGTATACATATATAGAGATATATATATTTTTCCTTGGTTTTATTCTGAAGGAAAATGTCTGGGAAATTGACCTGATTTTGCAAATTTTTTTTAAATCAACAAAACTCCACAATCTGCCTGAATGAAGTTTGTTAAACCTCTATGTTTTTAATTAATTTTAATTAAACCTCTAATGTTTTTAATTAATTTAGACAGCTAGAAAAGACACGTAATAAGGTTCATAAGAGGCACCTTTTAGTTGCAGCTAGCACCGTAGCTACAAGACAAGGTTTTTCTAAATTCTCTAAGAAAAAACCTGAGGCTATATCCAAAGCAAAATCTACCCCCCAAAAAAAGCTACACCTAATAACTAATAATTATCAAACTAATCACTTACAGTGCATAATTTAACTAGCTCTATCACTGACACATAATGCAACAGAGCATAACCTCCCTAATCTGCTGTCCCATTTTATGTAACATTAACAGATCTGAAAGGGCATTATTCAGCAAAAAAAAAACCAACAAAATCACCCATATTAGAACAAAAAGCAGAGCAGTAATCTAAAAGCTACATGATCACTGCTGGTAGCTTCAAAATCACTTAGGGCATAAAGGTCTGGGTTTTTCTTCCTTAATCAATAGCCAGATCCACCTTTCTGTTTACTAAGCTTTCTGTAAAGTGATATCAGAAATCCAGATAAAACTTTGAGCCCAATAATACAAACTAACTTAGGTTCTGTATGGCAGGAATACATAGAAAGGCAGGTGACAAGTACTTTTCTGGCAAATCACTAGATATTTGTTCTGCCTCCAAAAATTACATACTGCAATACAACTATGAATTATATTTTATGATACCATAAACTATTTAAAGTATATTAGAAGATTTGGAAAGCCATTTTAGTGTAGTTTAATTTGCCTGTTACTCTTTTTCACTTTAATAGATCAGCACTTCCTTTTTTTTTTTGTTCAGTACTTGATGGCAAAATGAAATGGTGTGCTTCCTATTTCAAGCATAAATTTATTGATACAATTTCTGAAAAAAGTTATGGCATTAAAAACCTACCTAAAGTTATACTGTTACATTAACCAAATGCAGAGTTTATCTCAGCTAAACATTAGCCTATAGAAAGTCAACGTGATCTTCAGAAAGGCTAGGTAAACATTTAAATAAATAAAATATTAGTCCAACAGTTAGAAACCAGGCATCAAGAAACAGTAGTTTTGGGGGTTTTTTGCAAGCCTCTGGATAGTTTTGTCCTGGTCTTCTGAATGTTAGATGTGAAATATACTTTCATGTCCAAACTGTCAATACAAGTTATTCATTTGTCTTACAGTAAATAAAGCAATTGCTGAATACACCATTTTCTTCCCTTGATTAACTGATTGGTGACAGTCCAGTTCAGCTACTTTATTACATATAACCTCTCTTTTTTTTTCTTAATATTAAAGAATTATAATGTTATTAGCTTAGAGTTAGTAATGAAGTGTAAAAGAGCAGATTTCTAGTTTGAAAACAACCCCCAAATGCTCCACTAATAAAATATTTAGCTAACACTTTATAGCATTACTAAATTTCACTTCGTCAACTGCCTTGATTTCACCTCACCGAGCAGAACTCACCATTGCCATTGTACAGAATCTGCATAGTTTCAAACTCCAGTGCCGTATATGTTGGATCTAAAACTTCACTGTAGTTTGCCATTTCCATGTCTAGTATTGGTTCCGAGAGCCTCATCATTGAATGCAAAACCAGTGAAAAAGCTGCTCAAGTGTACAACCTTCCCATTCTGTTTCACAGTGATTGATAATCCAAAGTTAACTATCACTGTGTCACTTACGTGCTGCAATGGGAGGAGCTGGAAAACTGCTTCTGCATGCTATATTCTACCTGTTCATTTGTTTTTTTTTCTTTTATGATACAGTGCAACCCTTCTGATAATCTTGGAATGCTTTATGTAATGACCTTATCAGAAGTTGTACTGCTTTCAGTTCTTGAGTGAACCCAAGGACGCCCAGGAAGCTTCCTATCTCCTATGCCCTACACATTTTGTTCCCACTGTGTAGTATAAACTGTCCTAAACAAACTACTCCTGTTGCTCCACGTAAAGAGGCTGTAGGTTCATATACCATTTTGCTCTCTCTGTTCAGAACAATAAGGAAGTTGTACACTTGAGTGTGATTCGATTACGGACTGTCCTCATACCCAAAACATCCATCATCGTATTTTAAAAGTCAGCTGCAAAGCCTCCCATTTTTACAATCGTTAGTGTTCTTTAACAGCCGCAAGGAGTTGGCTGTGTAGGCATGCATAACCAAGACTTAAGTAACACAAGCTGTGCAGCAAAGACAGTTTATAGATCCTTTCCGTCATACACCGTGTTGCTGTGATGGCTGTAGGCAATGGACCCTGCGCACTCTCACTGCTCTAATCCTTCCTCATTCAAGACGTGATGGCAGCATGTTGTTTTCAAGCATCACTCAGATGCACAGAGAAAAATAATTATCATTCACCTTCTCTGAAAAGAAGAATCTGGGTATGTCCGCTGTTCATCAATTGGTACATGTGGCACCTGCAAACCATTTAAAATCCCTCCTACAAAGCTGAATTTCAATTCCTAATCAGGTGCTTTTAAATGTTGGATAGCAGAATTTCAAATGTTATTACTTTTCAATATAATCTTTACAGAAAACTACCCTTTATACTGCTTAACGACTGTTACATTAAAGATTGCAT